TCTTCTTTTCAAGAACCACTGGACCAGAAAAGCTGAAACTTATGTGGAAGCATCCATGAGTAGTGTAGATATTAAATTGTAAAAATCATGACCCCCCAGGTTAGGACGGGGCCAGAATAGGGAATCCAAGTTGTACATTGAAATATATAGAACAAATCTTTAAAAAAGATCTGCATCACCCAAGTTACTCAGGTGAGCGATGTGGCCCTTGGGCCTCTTGTTAGCTGTTCTAATCACCCAATGTACATTGTCCATCCTTCTGTTAACTTTTCACATTTTCAACTTCTTCTCAAGAACCACTGGGCCAATTTTAACCAAACTTGGTACAAAGCAATCTTGGATGAAGGGAAATTCAAATATTGAAAATATAGGGCCAGGCCCTATTCAAAGGAGAGATAATCAAGAAAATAAAAAGATAGGATGGGGTTATAACAAAATCTTCTTCTAAAGAACCACTGGGCCAGAAAAGCTGAAACTTGTGTGGAAGCATCCTGGGGTAGTGTAGATTTTAAATTGTAAAAATCATGACCCCCAGGGGTAGGGTGGGGCTGCAATAGAGAATACAAGTTTTACAAAAAAGAAGAACAAACTTATAAAAATTTCTCCTCAAGACCCAGTGGGCAAGGAACCCGTGGGCAAGGAATGCTGAAACTTGTGTGGAAACATCCTTGGGTATTGTCAATTTTAAATTGTTAAAATCATGACCCCGGGGGGTAGGGCAAGGTCACTTTAGGGAATCCAAGTTTAACATAGAAATATATAGGAACAACCTTTAAACAATCTTTAAAAATCCTCTTCTCAAGAACCAGTGGACCACTAAATAAAAGTAGAAACTTATGTGGAAGCATCCTGGGGTAGTGCAGATTTTAAATTGTAAAAATCAGGTGGAAGCATCCTGGGGTAGTGCAGATTTTAAATTGTAAAAATCATGACCCACTGGGGTAGGTTGGGGCCACAATAGGGAATCCAAGTTTTGAATGGAAATATATAGGAACAATCTTTAAAAAAAACTTCTTCTCAGGAACTAGTGGGTCAGGTTTGCTGAAACTTATGTGGAATCATCCTGGTGTAGTGTTCATTTTAAATTATAAAAATCATTAGTAGTGTAGATATTAAATTGTTAAAATCATGACCCCCAGGGGGTAGGGCGAGGCCAAAATAAGGGTTTTCAAGGTTTACATAGAAATATATAGGAACAATCTTTAAAAATCAATCTCCTCCTCAAGAACCAGTTTACCAGGAATGTTGAAACTTATTTGGAAACATCCTCTGGTAGTTTTTATTTAAAATTGTAAAAATTATGTCCCCTGGGGGTAGAGCAGGGCAGCAATAGGGAATCCAACTTTTTACATAGAAATATATGAGAAAAATTTTCTTCTTAAGAACAAGTGGGCCAGAAAAGCTGAAAGTTAAATGGAAGCATCCTGGGTTTTAATTCTAAATTGTTAAAATCATGACCCCAGGGGGTAGGATGGGTCCTTAAGATGGAATCCAGGTTTTATATAGAAGTATATTGGAAAAAATCTTCACCTCATGAATCAGTGGGCCAGGAGAACTGAAACGTATGTCAAACATCCTTTGTTAGTGTAGATTCTAAATTATTGAAAATCAAGATGTGGGGGGGGGGGGGGTAGGTTCATTGTCCTCTATTTTCAGCTCACCTGAGCTGAAGGCTCAAGTGAGATTTTCTGATCACATTTTGTCCGTAGTCCGTCTGTCTGTCAGTCTGTAAACTTTTCACATTTTCAACTTCTTCTCAAGAACCACTGGGCCAATTTTGACCTAACTTAATACAAAGCATCCTTGGGTGAAAAGAAATTTAAATTGTTAGAATGAAGGGACATATCCCCTCGCAAGGGGAGATAATCAAGAAAAGACAAAAATAGGGTGGGGTCATTAAAAAATCTTTTTCTAAAGAACCACTGGGCCAGAAAAGCTGAAACTTATGTGGAAGCATCCTGGTGTAGTGTAGATTCTAAATTGTTAAAATCATGACCCCCGGGAGAAGGGTGGGGCCACAATGTGGTATCAAAATTTAATATAGAAATATATATGAAAAATCTTTGAAAAGCTTCTCAAGAACCACTGGGCCAGTAAAGCTAAAACTGATGTGGAAGCATCCTTGGGTAGTGTAGATATTAAATTGTTCAAATCAAAACCCCCAGGGGAAGGACAGGACCATAATGGGAAATCAAAGTTTAACATAGAAATATATAGGAAAAATCTTTGAAAATCTTCTTCTCAAGAACCACTGGGCCTGAAAAGCTGAAACTTATGTGCAAATGGAAGGATCAAGGGGTAGATTTCAATATGTCTAAATTATGATCAGTGGGGTAGGGTGGGGATACTATTACAAGGGGGAAATCTGGTAAAGAACAGAATGGTCAAAGCTTCTCAGGTGAGCGATGTGGCCCACGGGCCTCTTGTTGTAATTACTGTCATTGTAAAATGTAATCTTTTCACATTTTCGCTACTTAACTTCTAAAAAACCATAGGGTCAATTTCATTTTAATTTGCCTCATTGAGAGTCCCTTGGTGAACGGTTTTGCTGTTAAATCAGATGAAGTTTACAATCAGTTATCAAATTGAATCAGTACAATGGAATTGAAAATTTGAACCACAATTTATGCTTCTAAGACAATAGTTGGAAAATCTGTGTGCCATTCACAAGAAAAATGAAGGATTAATGTTCCATTGATAATGTTAAGATTGATCACATTGTTCAAAATATATTTTGAAAAAAATTAAGACTCCATTTTTCAATTGTTGGCGAACATCTTAAAAACATTATAGAGGGGATTTATATTTTTTGAAATAAGGTTATATCCTTTAGGAGGGTGGAATTAATTCAGAACACATTGATATTTTCTTTCAAAATCTCCTGGAGAAATATTGGCCATTAATAAGGTGATAAGCTTGATTTCATAGTGTAGATTCAAATTCAATTGTAGAGGAAGAATGGGGCAATAGGAGTAAAATCAGTGAATTAAAGTTATACAAAGGAATATAAAAGAAGAGATAAAAATTGTAGAAACTGAAAAGCCATTATCAGTTTAAGCTCACCTGAGCTGAAAGCTCAAGTGGTTTTTCTGATCACACTTTGTACAGCATCTGTCTCGTCTGTCTGTAAATTTTTCACATTTTTGACTTATTATTAAAACAACTGGGCCAATTTCAAGCAAACTTGGCACAAAGTATCTTTGGGTGAAAGGTATTGAAGTTTATTTAAATGAAGGGCCACAATTTTTCAAGGGGAGATAATTTAGAAATAGTGAAAATTTGGTGATATGTTTTAAAAATCTTCTCAAGAACTACTGTGCCTGGAAAAATGAAACTTTTAGGGAAGCATCCTCAGGTAGTGTAGATTCAAATAATGACCCCTATGAGTTGATTGGGGTTACAACAGGGTTTTAATAGAAATATTTAGGAAATTTCTTTGAAAAACCTTCTCAAAAATGGCAAAGCCATGATCGATTAGTCATATGTATATGGAAGCATTCTCAAGTAATGTATATTCATGTTTCTTCAAGTCATGACCCCTTGGGGGTAGGGCGGGGCCACAATGTACGTTCATATGTAAAGGGTAATAAAGACACAGGTGGTTAAAGAAGTAGGCAAGCATCCTTAGTTAGTATAGGCAATGCAAATTTGTTCAAATCATACCTTCTCCCTTTTAAGGATTGGTTTGGAGCACTTTTTGGTTTAAAATTTTCAATTATAAACAGTAAGTTATTTCTTTTTTTCATGGCCACAGTGCTAAGGTGAGCGATGTAGCCCATGGGCCTCTAGTAGTAATAAAGAAAAGTTCCTAGGTGGTAGTAACTGCAAGTGTTTTAGAAACAAGACCATTGTGGAAGGATGGGACGTAGATTCTATATATTCATTTTTCATACAAAGATTACTAATAACTTAATGATGTTATACACATGTATTAGGCCATTCCAAGTCTTTTCTATGTTTAATGTCTGCGTGCACCTTGGTTTTTGACACCCCATATAAGTAAAAACACACAACATCAAGAGTTCAAAATTGATTAATTTAGTTAATTTTTACCTCCTCTGAGCCAAAGGCTCAAAGAGCTAATACTATTGCCATTTGTGCAGTGTGCGTAAACTTTTTAGTATGTGGGCCACAACTCAAGAACCCCTTGGCCAATCAATACCAATTTTGTCACAGGGTATTCTTGGCCAAAGGGCTACCATTGATACTAAAATAAGGGTTGGGACCCTTAAACAAGGGGAGATAATCCAGAAGCAAAACCCGAAGTACTGGTTGCTAAAAAATCTTCTTCTCCTTAACCATTAGGCAGATTCCCACCTAACTTACATACAAGTATCAAGATATGTCGAAGATTAAAATTTGCACAGGGAATTACCCTGGGGCAAAGGGCGTGGTCTCAAGGTCACTTCAAAATTGACCTAAATTTACAATTAATATAAATGTGTATATTTTGCTTACTATAAGGACTAGGATCATCAAATCTTGTAAGTTGATGCATCTTACAACTTCACATTATGTAAGCTCAAAAGTAGGTCACGGTGACCTACTTTTTAAATTTTGCGGGGATTTGTTTTCAAATTGATTTGAAGGCATATTTTGAACACTTTAAGACCTATTATCATCAAACTTTGTCAGTTGATGCATCTTGGGTCCTCAAACAATGTCAACTTAAAAGTAGGTCACAGTGACCTACTTTTGAACTTTATGACATCCTTTTAAAACATTGAATCCCATTATTTCAGACACTGAGAGGTTTAGTATCATAAAATCTTGTACTTTGATGCATCTCGGGACCTTAAAACATATTTATGAAAGAGTAGGTCACTGTGACCTACTTTTTGAATTTGCTGGCATTTGTTTTCATATTGTTTAAAATGCATATTTTGATTACCTTCAGACCTAGAATCATCAAACTTGGATGTATCATGTGCCTGTATACTTCACATATAAATATACTAACATTATGTAGTTAAAATAATTGGATTTCTTGTGTTTTGTAGATGGGCAAGAGAAAGGGCATGTCTGCTAGCGTTAAGCGCCAGAAAGACAAGATTCGAAAGAGGGAGAAGAGACAGCAGCAGCTCCTTCCCTCCGCAGACGTTCCACAAGATGGTGTACTGCTTGAATCTGCTGTCCCCTGCGGGGCAGTAGATGGAGCTATTTCAGCTCCCCCTGGTAATTTTCCAGGGCAAGGTTCTATAGGGTTTCCGCCTATTGAGGAAAAACCCTTGGCCAGAATGCAGGCCTCTCTTCGCGAGAAAATGCATTCAAATGCCCTGAGTATCGCATCCTCTCAGGGAAGTCGTCTGTGTGCCCGAAACGGAGGCATGGCACCGTCCCCTGACTCCCCACCGTGGGTTTGTACCTCGCCGAGGGTACCTGAGCCGGACACCGTGCACGTGTCTGGCTCAGCAGGTCAGGCGCAGCTGGATATGTCATCCTCTCAGGGGGATGAGTCCAGCAGGATACAAAATGATGCAATGGCTTTTGAAACGGATTTTGAAACGGATTTTAAAACGGATTTTAAAACGGATATTGAAACGGATATTGAACTGAAATTTGAAACAAATATGAGAATGAATACTGATACAAATATGAGAATGGATACTGATACAAATATGAGAATGGATACTGATACAAATATGAGAATGGATACTGATACAAATATGAGAATGGATACTGATACAAATATGAAAATGAATACTGATACAAATATGAAAATGAATACTGAAAGCAATGTCATAAATATTGAAGAAGAAAATGAGTGCATAAATGTTGACTGTATTGAAAATGAGTCGGGATACAGATCTGAAAGACAAAACACTGGTAGATTGACTGATGCTGAAGTTCCAAGTGCAAGTGAAAGCAGACAACAAGCAAACATCAAGAAATCTATCCAAGGTTCTTTTCATCAAGGTAACTTAATGTTTGGTGAGAATGCGGGTACACAGTGTGTAGCAAACTCCTTAGTAGCTTTAGCTTACCATAGGTTGAAGAATTCTAAACACTGGCAAGCTACAGATATGGACAATGTGTTGGTAATGGGGGATGAGTTGTACACCTACTTGCAGCGTAGTTCTGGTATAAATAGCAGATACCTTTTGGTTAATGAGTTACCACAGTTTTTTGAATGCTTTAATACAGTGTACGAGTTGAAAGCAGATGAATCATTATGCAGTTTGATAAATTTATCAGATACTGAACCAAACTATGATGACTTTCATGCATATTTCCTTTTAGATGCTTTGCGTATTGCCCTTTCTGAAACTGATGGATGTTTTGTGTGTTTTAGGGGAAATACTTTTTTGATTGGGAAAACAAATGATCAATTTTTCACATTTGATTCTCACTCCAGGACTGCTGAAGGATATATGAGTGTAAATGGATGCAGTACAAGGGTACTTCATGAATCAATTGAAGATGTTTACAACCATGTTCTTTCATTAGCACTGTCAATGGGATATTCTGAAATGATTGACTGTGAAATAACAGGTGTGAATTGTTCAATTAGCAAAATTGAGGCAGATAAGAAAAAAAATGATAGGTGTTCTAGTTCAAAACTTCAATTAGTCTCTGATGGTGATGATGATGATGATGTTGAAGTTGTTTCAACAGAAAGTCACAAAATTAGCTTTAGACCACTCTCTGCTGCTAAGAAAATTGAGCTTTGTCAAACTTTAGGGATATCATTCTCAAATTATGAAGAAGTGAGTGAACCAACTGTCTTTATCCCGGAAGCAGAAGGACCTGATGATTGTGTAAGAATTCAGGGGGATGGAAATTGTTTTTTTCGAGCAATTTCATTTTGTTTGACTGGCGTAGAGGACCATCATTATGATGTACGTTCAGCAATATGTCAACATCTCCTTGACAACTCAAGTTTGTTTAAAACCTTCTTAAGGTGTGGTGAAAGTTCTGTTGAAAATCACATTGCAATGAGAAATATGACTCAAGAAGGTGCATGGGCAACAGAAGTAGAAATTCTTGCTCTCTCTCATCTTTTAAACACTGATGTGCACACATATACACAGAATCACTGGGTTACATATTCTGCACGCATGGTAGATCCTACAACAAATTTGCAATGTTTGGAGGCAATATATCTTTTTCATGAGAATGAGAATCATTATAGTGCTGTGTTATCAGTTTTTGGAAAACAAACACCTTGTTGCAAAAAGACAGAATCAATTATAGGACACAAAGAATTCAAAAAAAGAGTTGTAAATCGAAACCGTATGAGAGAAATGCGTAATGTCATGTCATCAGAAAAAATCGAGAATGAACGTAATAAGAGCTATCTGAAAAAAACTAGAATTATGACTGAACAGAGTGGGCAGAAAGTTAAAGGTTTTTGTCGCATTGATAAGAAATTGAAAGCCGCAAAACTAAAGTACTGGACAGATCGAGCATTTAGATTAAAAGCAATATCACAGAGCAAAGAAAGATACAGAAGTAATGAAGCTTACAATGCAAAGTCGAAAAAAAGAAGTGTGGAAAAGTATGCATTAGACCCAGGACACAAGTTGAGTCTTAAAGAAGCAAGCAGAAGGAAATATGCAACAAATGAAGCCCATAGAAAGCATAAGATAAGAAGATATATTGAGAAATATAAATCAAATATTTTACACAGAGAAACTGAAAAACAAAAAAGTACAGAAAAATACAAGAAAGACCAAATACACAGAGCAGATGTCAAAAAAAGAAGTACAGACAAGTACAATAAAGATGAAGAACATCGAACAGATGTTAAAAGAAGAAGTACAGACAAGTACAAGAAAGATGAAGAACATCGAGCAGATGTTAAAAGAAGAAGTACAGACAAGTACAAGAAAGATGAAGAACATCGAGCAGATGTTAAAAGAAGAAGTACAGACAAGTACAAGAAAGATGAAGAACATCGAGCAGATGTTAAAAGAAGAAGTACAGACAAGTACAAGAAAGATGAAGATCACAGGTATATGCTAAAGGCAGCTAGTAAGATAAAATACCACTTTAGTGCTGATGGAAAGAAACGCAAGAAGGAAAATGTGCTTAAACAGAGACAAGCAATCAAAGTGAAGCTAGAAGACGAAGATGAAGTTGTCAAATTATTTAAGGACAATGTAAGGAATGGGCCAGAATACACTTGTTGCTGTTGTCATCGTTTATTGTTTGAAAATCAAGTTCAAGGATGTGCATTTGAAATGTATGAGAAAAAACAGAAAGCAATGGAAATTGCAAAGATATGCATAAATAACAGATATGTTCATGAGTGCACAATGTCTTGTTCGACGAACTGCAAAAAATCATCATTATGGATCTGTTTTACATGTCATAGGAAAATACTTAGTGGAAAAATTCCTGGAGAAGCAGCTGCAAATAAAATGACTCTTGAAGATATTCCACATCAACTAAGTAATTTAAACAGTTTAGAACAGCATCTCATTGCTTTACATATTCCCTTTATGAAAGTGATGTCTCTTCCACAAGGTGGTCAAAGAAATGTACATGGGCCTGTTGTATGTGTACCTTCAAACATGAGAAAAGCAACAAGCTTGCCACGAAATGAAAATGAAAATATGTTGCTACGAGTGAAGCTCAAACGGAAGTTATCTTATAAGGGTTACTTTGAATATCAGTTTGTGAATCCAGAGCATATACAAACAGCAATGGACTACTTGAAGAAAAACAACAGATGGTATCGAGATGTTGTGATCAATTCCACATGGAAACAAAACTGTGAGGAAGGTGATTTGATTTTGAATGGTTCTAATGAGAGTGAAGAAGAGGAATTAAGATTAGAACAGACAGAAATTCAAGAGGTGGTTTCAGACACATGCTTACAACCTGTGGATATTGCACAAGAGGTCCTTGATCACTACTTTGATGATGTTTACAACATAGCTCCTGGGGAGGGACAAAATCCTGTGCGTATGTTGCAAGAAGAAGGGAATGAAGCAAAGACATTTCCACATTTATTTCCCAGCGGAAATTTTTCTTGGAATCAAAATAGAGAGGAAAAGATAACCCTTGCCAGATATTTTAACAACAGACTTATGAACACTGATAATAGATTTGCAAAAGACACAAATTACATCTTCTTCTCCCAGTACATGTCTGAATTAAACCAAGTGATTGAGAAAACACAAATTTCAATCCGCAAGTCGGTATCACAACTTAACGGTGGAAAAGCTGTAACATCAGATATGTTGCAAGACCCAGAAGTACTCTCTAATCTGCTGAAGAACAATGAGGCTCTAAGGTTTATGCAACCAATTCGAGGAACACCTGCATACTGGTCAGCAACACAGAAAGACTTATTTGCTATGCTTCGACAACTTGGTATTCCTACATGGTTCTGCTCTTTTTCTGCAGCTGAATTCAGGTGGAATGATATTGTGGGATCAATATTACGTCATGAAAATGATACAACAGACCCTTCCAATTTAGACTGGGCAGAAAAAAGTGAAATTTTGAGAAAAAATCCTGTGACCGTAGCCAGAATGTTTGAAAATAGATTCCATATTTTCCAGAGGGATGTAATATTGTCACCATCAAACCCAATAGGAAATGTCATTGATTATTTTATAAGAGTTGAATTTCAGCAAAGAGGTTCCCCACATATGCATTGCTTGTACTGGGTTGAAAATGCACCAAAATTCAACGTAGATAGCGATGAGACAGTTTGTGATTTTATTGATAGGTATGTCACATGTGCTTTGCCTACTGATAATGAGAACCAGGAACTTAGACAGATTGTCTTAGCAGTACAACAACATAGCAAGAGTCACTCAAAGTCATGCAGAAAAAAAGGAACAGAGTGCAGATTCAATTTTCCAAGACCACCATCGGAGAAAACCTTTATAACAAAGCAATGTGAGGAGGAGGATGACATTTCTGATGATGATAGAATAATGAAGAAATCTCAGGCAAAGGATATTTTGATGAGTGTTTGGAATGAAGTATTGGATGATGTGAATGCACTCAAGACAACTGAAGAAATATTTAGCAACATCCACCTTACACAAGATGTATATGAGATAGCACACAAGTTGTTGTCGACAAGAACAAGTACCATATTAAGACGAAACCCTAATGAAATGTGGACAAATCAGTACAATCCATGCCTTCTTAGATGTTGGGATGCAAACATGGACATACAATATGTTCTAGACCCCTTTAGCTGCATTGTGTACATCATATCATATATATCAAAAGCAGAAAGAGAAATGGGAATGCTTTTAAAGCAAACACAAGTAGAAGCAATAGAAGGCAACTTAAGTGCCCGTCAAACAATGAGAACAATAGGATCAGCATATCTTAATCAAAGGGAGGTCAGTGCCCAAGAAGCAGTTTACAGAGTCTGTAATCTGAGAATGAAGGAGAGTTCAAGGAAAGTGGTTTTTGTTCCTGTTGGTGAAAATCCCACTCGATTAAGTAAACCTCTTTCTCAAATGCAAAACAAAAAGAGAAATGATTGTAATGATGAAAACTTGGAATGTGATGATGATGAAGAAGACATATGGATGACAAATATTGTAGAGAGGTATGAAAATCGCCCTGACCTACATTTATTTGATAAAATGTGTCTTGCAGAATTTTGTTCCTATTACAGAGTGCTTGCTAAATCTCAGATTCCTAAAGGGGAAAATGAAAATGTCTATGAATTGAAGAATGGAAAAGGGTACATTCAAAAAAGAACAAGAGGAAAACCAGCTGTTATCAGATATCCTAGATTCAATCCAGAAAACACACCAGAAAAGTATTATCAATCGGTATTGCAGCTTTTTCTTCCATATGACACACAAGATCAACTGAAACCACCTGGATTTGAACTTTACCAAACATTTTTTGAAACTGGATTTGTGAGGCTGAAATCCGAGATTTGTTTACAACCAGTTAAAACTTTGGTGGAAGGTAATCAGTCCAAATTCTCAAAAAATGAAGAAGCTTTTGATAATGCCCAAGAGGTTTTTGAACTTTATGGTGAACCTGAGGATGCTTGGGCAAAACTTTGTCCGGAAACAGAAATGAACAGAAAGGAGTGTTTAGATGAAAAAAAGATGACTGAGAAATTAGAAGATAAAAAACCAGAAGTCACTCATGATATTGAAAACAATTTTTCAGACTTGTTGTATCACATCACAGAGAATTGCAATTCAAGGCAAGAAATGCTTCCGCTATTGAGAAGATTAAATGAAAAACAAAAGGAGGTCTTTTACATAATTCGTGACTGGTGTTTGAAGAAAGTAACTGGAGAGAATATGGAACCATTGCATATCTTTGTGACAGGGGGTGCAGGAACAGGAAAAAGCCATTTGATCAATGTTATACATTATGAAGCTTCTCGTATTCTTGAAAAATTACTTTCATCTCCAAATGATATATCTGTTCTTCTCACATCTTTTACTGGCACCGCTGCATTTAATATACGGGGCAATACACTTCACCATGCTTTTTCTTTGCCAATAGCTCTACGAATTCCATATGAACCCCTGAATGAGCAAAACTTGAGTGCAATAAGATCCAAGTTGGAAAAATTGCAGATCTTGATCATTGATGAAATATCTATGGTTCACAAGAGGCTTTTGTATTATATTCATGAGCGTCTTGTTCAAATTAAGAAGTGCAAAGAGCCATTTGGTGGTGTATCTATCTTAGCAGTTGGAGATTTCTACCAACTTCCTCCAGTAAAGCAACGAAAAGCAGAGAGATTATATAATGAAAATGAAGAATACCCAGTAGACTATTGGTTAGACTTTTTCAAACTGGTAGAGTTGGATGAAATAATGAGACAACGAGAAGATGCAAACTTTGCTTCAATTTTGAATTCTTTACGAATTCGAACAATAGAAGAACCACTGTCAGAAAAGGCTAAACTGATGCTTTCAGAATGTGTAAAAGATGGGCCAGATGATGTTCTGCATGTATATCCCACAAATGAAGAAGCAAATGAACATAACCTCAAAATTTTGAAGGAAAAGTGTGGAGATTTAATTGAAGTAAACGCTGAAGATTATCAAAAAGATAAAACGACTGGTAAGCTCACTTTACGTGAAAAACCTTTCATTAGGACAAGAACAGATGGCTTATCCTCTTCCCTGCTGATTTCTGTGAATGCTAGGGTGATGCTTACAAGAAACATAAATGTGGATGATGGACTTGTTAATGGTGCAATGGGACACATTTCTTCTATTGAGTTTGGAAAAGGTGAGCAGAGAAATAGAGTGGAAGGAATTGGAGTGATATTTGATAGCAAAGATACTGGAAGGAAGGAAGGAAAGTTGACCCCTCAAGGACATCTAGTCTATATTCAAAGAGTACAAGAAGACATCAGAGAAAAAAACAAGAAAAATGTTGTTAGACGCCAATTTCCTTTAAAATTATCATGGGCTTGTACAGCACATAAAGTTCAAGGAATGACAACTAACAGTGTTGTAGTTAATTTAGATAGAACATTTGCTCCAGGACAGGCATATGTAGCTATTAGTAGAGTCACTTCTCAGAATGGCTTATTCATTGAAACAAGTAATGAAAATGCATTACAGAAGAAAATTTACGCTGATCAAGATGTGAAATCTGCCCTGATTAAAATGCAGAAATTAATATCAAACCAAAATGATGGAAATATGATCAACTCTGACAATCGCAAAACAATCATTTTATTCAATGTGCAGAGTTTACGAGGTCATTTTCAAGACCTTCAATGTGACAGCAGATTTCAGAATACAAACTTTATATGTTTGACAGAGACATGGTTGAAAGAAAGTGACAATGTGAAAGATTTTGAACTTCAAAACTTTGAATTTTGCCATGTTTCAAGGGAACAATCTTATGATGAATGTGAAGACAATTTTGTCAAGCTTTGCAAAGCCAAGGGAGGTGGTGTTGGAATGTACAAGAAGAAAAATGAGAAAACTTTGATTCACGAGTTACCACAAAAAAATGTAGAAGGAATGGCAGTAGAACTGTGTGAGGAAAACACTATACTTATAGTTATTTATCGACCAAGTCAACTAAGTGTAAGAGTTTTTCTCGATAGCCTCCAAAAAGTTTTAGATTATTTCAAAGAACAGTTTTCCAAATGTATTATAATGGGTGACTTTAATGAAGATGCAAAATGCAAAGGACCTATACAAGAATTGATAGAGTCTAAAGGATTTCAGCAGAAAGTTAATTTTTCTACTACAGAGGGTGGTACAATTTTGGATCATGTTTATGTTCCAGAACTCGTACAAGCTGATGTACAATGCATGCATTCTAAACATACGGTACTAATATACTTTTATCATATTATTCTATAGACTACATTAGAGTTTATCTTAATTTAGCACATATGTATGGATCTGCCTGTAATCATTTTTGGTGACAGTCATTGACCTGCATTCTATATTTCATGTTGTTTCATTGAAAAGTAAGAATTTATACGGTATATCTTTGTGTACTTATATTGACATATTCAAGGTTAATTATATGCAGGCACTGGTGGGTATGGAGTGATTAGTACAGTCATGAAGTAGCACTGCAAATGTACATGTATAGATTAAATAACTTTACAGAGACACCTTGATGTGCAAAGGGGAAAAATGACAAATGATGAATGCTTGCAACACCAGTCTGTTAATTCCAAAAAGTATTAGGTTTCAGAAAATTACAGGTTTCAGAACTTAAATTTTCTATTTTTATGGAGAAACATGAAAGTAAAAATAATCTCAGTATGCCCCTGATGAACATATTTCTAAATTCTTTTTCCTCCTTGTACGCATGTGCAGAAAAGCTGAATAAGTTTCCATACATAGTTACCATGGTCTCAAGTAACCAGGAATGGATGTAAGTAGACCAAAAATTTTTATATAATCTTTTAAAAATGTTGTTAGTACATATTTCTGACCTTTGAATGCTCCAGTTGAATGCTTTTACAAGTTTGAGCTAAAACTAGTGGGTATTTTTTTTTTTAAAACAAGAACACACATGCCTCCCCTTGTTTACCAACATTCACAAGTGCAGTTTTTCGATCAAGGACAAAATAATAATGAAGTGCGTCTTTCAAATCTTTAAATTAAAAGTATCAAAAGTTCTGGTCTGGACTTCTTAATTTAACCTTGAATGAAGAAAGTGGTCAAGGTCAAATAATTTTGATTTAGTGTATTTAGGATTAATGTTGTGTTTACTTGTTCCATGTTTAAAATGCTAATGTCAAGAAAAGTCTCAAGTAATAACGTAGGATATAACTTCATGTGAAAGTTTGCCCTTGACCTTATAATATTGGATCAAGGTCAAATATTTTGATCACACACACCCTTATCCTATGTGTTCTCTGCATGTTCCAAGTTTGAAGCCTAAATGTCAAAGGGTTTGCAAGTTATGGTGAAATTATAATTTCTCTATTTGACCTTGAAAAAATGGGTCAAAGTCAAACTTCTGGTGCACTGAATATTGTATTTCATGTCTTCCTTTTATGATATAAGAATGGAGTCCTAATATCAAAGGGTGTTCAAGCTATGGCCTAAACTCTATTATGATGAGAAAGTTTGACCTTGACCTTTTAATTGGATCAATGTCATATATTTTAATCGCATACACCCTTCTCTTATGTGTACTCTGCAAGTTCTAAGTTTGAAGTCTAAATGTCTAAGGTTATGTTTAAATAATGTTTTTTCTCTTTTTGACCTTGAAGAAAGAAGGAGTTAAAGGTCAAATTCTGGTGCACTGCATCTTGTATTTAATGTCTTTTTCTATCTTAAAAGTTTGAAGTCCTAATATCAAAGAGTACTCAAGCTATAATGTCAAAACTCTATTTCCATGTAAAAGTTTGACCTTGACCTTAGAAATAAATCAAGGTCAAAAATTTTGTTAGCATACACTCTGCCTCAAGATCATCTATGTTTGTTGTAAGTATGAAGTCTTCAGGTCAAAGGGTATTCAAGTTACGTCCTGGACAAAATTTGGATAAAGAAGAAGAAGAAGAAAATCGACAAAAACAATTTGTCTCCCCATCGGAAGGGGAGACATTATAAAAGCGGCGTGACCATGACAAACAGGAAAAAAACAAAACCGTAGATACAACCTTTGTTGTTCTGACACTTACATTGTGCAGTTTTTTCTTGCAGTTTAATTGTCATATCTTAACTCTTTGCTCATATTCTTCTTTTTCTGTATGCTACAGATATAGTTAAAGAAAGACATGATTTTGACTTATTGTGCTACTTTAAGACAGAGATTTATTTCAGTTTTAATAAATTCGTTTATACTGTTATTTTAAGTATTAGGAGACAAGAACATTGAAGTCAACCATCATTTTTAACAACCTTATAATTAGGAAGTATTGGCAAGGTTCCTGATAATTTTAGAGATTTATTTTCAAGAACTCTTAAGTAGGTTTCATTGTTCTAAACATGCTATAATTTTGATTGCTTTTCTTGAGGAGACGGGAATTGTTTAAAAGATTTTTCATAAATATTCCTATGTAAAACTTTGATCATATATCCCATTATATTGTTACCCGTCCTTCCCCTAGAGGTCATGATTGGAATAAACTTGAATCTATACTACCTAAGGATGCTTCCATATATGTATGACTAATAATGTGTTTGATGTTCTTGAGAAGCAGATGTTTAAAGATTTTTCCTATATATATATATATTTCTATGTACAACTTTGATCATCCCTTGCAGCCCCTCCCTACCCCCAGGGATCATGATTTGAACAAATTTAAGTATTACACTACCTAACTATATTCCCACATAAGTTTCAACCTTCCTGGCAGAGTGGTTCTTGAGAATATTTTTAAAATATGCCACTAATTTTCACTATTTCTAAATTATCTCCCATTGAATTAATCCTTCACTTCAACAAACTTAAATTCCAAGTTTGGTTGAAATTGGCCCAGTGGTTCTTGAGAAGAAGTCTAAAATAAGAAAAGTTAACAGATACATGGATGGATGGACAGCTAGACGGACGGATGGACGGACTAATTACAAAATGTGCCCCTTCTAATCCAGGGGCATGATTTGCACAAACTTGAATCTACACAACCTGGGGATGCTTGCATAAAATATCACTGATCATATAGTATTGTTTTTTAGATGATTTTTTCCTATCTTTATAATTCCAGATAAAATTTTCATCACCTACCCCTTAGTTTATCACATGAACTGAACGACTTGAATCAATACTGTGTCAGAAAGTTTTCATACAATTTTCATCTATTATTTTTACTTTTCAGTTTTTATTCTGAAGAAGATTATGAAAAGATGTTACAGTCTCTCCACTATATTTCTTAGGTTATTATTCTGGAATTTAATTTGCAGGAGTACTTATTTTCTTCAATGCTTTTTGTGAAAATAAATTATATTCTTTGTCAACTCAAGTCTTTTTATTTGGAAGTAAATTTGTATTGAGAGACATACTAAAAGAGATGAACCTGGGTTAATAAAGGACACTTCTTATGCTACAGCCTACATGAGAGACATAGATATGTGTACATGTATCTAATGATAGTTAAATCCACATTTTTCAAAAGTTAAATTATCTCTAAACGTGCCTTGGCTATCTTCAGGGGGAAACCCTGAAAATCTTAAGAAAAGCCTTTGTAGCTTCTTGTTTGTTACTTTGCCAAATGGGGTTGGGGGGCATCTTAAGAAGTCCAAAAGCTGTTTAAAGGTTCAGACAAGTTAACAAGATGTGTTTGTGAAACACTAAGTGCCCGGCAGCAACAATGTCTGAACAAGATTTGTTAGTGAAACACTATGCGCCCTGCAGCAACAAAGTTAAAAAACTATTTTTAGCAGATAAATCAAGGTCACAAGGTCATTGACCTTGGTGTCATTTGAAAGAACTTCAATAGTGGAATAGGCATACCAAATATGAAGTCTCTATCTCTCATGGTTCAAAAGTTACGGCAAAAGTTCAAAAAAACTATTTTTAGCAGATAAGTCAAGGTCACAAGGTCATTGACCTAAGTGTCATTTGCAAGAGCTCTACTGGTGCAGTATGCATATCAGACATGGAGTCTCTATCTCTCATGGTTCAATAGTAATTGCAAAAGTTTGAAAAAGATATTTTTAGCATATAGGTCACAGTCAAGGTCACATGGTCATTGACCTTGGTGTCATTTGAAGAACTTAATTAGTTGAGTAAGCAAACAAAATATGAAGTTTCTATCTTTCATGGTTCAAAAGTTGTGGGGAAGGTTCAAAAAAGCTATTTTTAGCATGTAGGTCACAGTTAAGTTCACTGATCTTTGTGTCGTGTAAAGAGCTCAATTTGTGGAGTATGCATACCAATATTAAGTCTCTTTATTATTTCATGGTTCATAAGTTTCATTTCATGTATAAAAAGTTTGCAGACAAACAGACAGGGCAAAAACAATTTGTGCTCACGATCTATCGATCCGGGCGCATAAAAATTAAGGGACACGAGGTGACTATTTTGAATTTTTAAAATTGGATCTTGCTACACCAACTGTTTTTCATACACATTTTGTTTTTTGAGACACGTGTACGCTTTGTCATGTTTTAAAGTTATACGAAAGCATCACTTTTTAAAAGTAATACATCTTGATTGCATTTTTTTTACCTGATCTATGGGATCTGACGATTGTCGGTAAAAAGGGAATGCTTACTCCTGCAATGCACTTGGTCCCACCTCTGGAATTTCTAGGGATACGTGTGTTATGCCTAGCTCACAAATTTGTATCGATTATAATATATGATTATAGCAGATTATAGACTTTAATATTATAGATGCCATGCGTTTATTTTTGAATTCCGAGCTCGATCTAAATTTTACCATTAATTAATTAGGCCTAGATTTGCTTTGTTGTACTTTAGGTAACTACATAAGTTAACCCGGTTTTGTTGTAATATACCCTTTGTATCATAGACGTCGGAACCGGGGGGGGGGGGGGGGGGCTTACCCCCCCCCCCCCACTTTTTTTGAAAAGATAGACATTTTCTATATGTATTGAAAATTGGGGTTTACCTTTTTTGTTGCTTTAGCCCCCCCCCCTCGACTTTCAATTAGCCCCCACTTTCAATTTGCTTCCGACGACTATAACTTTATGTGTATTATTTATTACATTAGAAATAAATACAAGACTGTTCTAGATCTGTACATTATAAACTCGATTTTCACATTATTTCATCATGATATACTAGTACACAAAGCTCTGATATAACGTTTCATGTATAAAAAATACATATTACATGCGCGGATCCAGAATTTTTGGCAGGGAAGGGGAGGG